GGAGTGCTGCCACTTATTCTCTCAAAAAAGAAATCTGTTGGTTATAATAGTCTGAAACCCCTTTGTCAACTTAACATTTTGAATACACTAACAGATGGCTTCTCCCTGCTCTAGGCAGATGACGGATCAGAAATAAGTAGTGTTGGGAGACTTCTTGGGAATGCTCAGGGACAGGAAAGACAGCTGTCACAGAATATCTTAATTACAGCATTTACAAAGTTCTAATTAATGTAATGGTGCTTTTATGATTATATTAATGTTATGACCATGAGGGTGTTTGCTACTGAACTCACTTGGCAAGATAATTTGGAAGTCATTGTGTATTTTAAGGCTAACAACTGTTATATGAGCTTGAAGAATTTTGGCTTTCTGGTAGAAGTAACAATTAAAATTATTTTATAGCTAAAATGTATTTTTAATTTTTTCATTAGTACATGTTTGCGATACATAATGATTATATGCATTTTGGGTTGTTGATACATGTATGTAACATATCTGAATTTTTTCTTATCCCCTTCTTCAATCCTTGTTCTCCTGTCTTCTCCCTCCATTTTTTGTTCTTCTTCCCATTTGCAAATTTCTAGCACTCAGGTTCCTATTATCTATCTTTTATTTGTTCTTCCGTGTATTTATACTCTCCATTTGTGGTATAATAGGAACCATGTGATATTTAAGATTGCATGTCTAATTTATTTCAAATAATGTTTTCATTTCAAGGTGCAAATGTCCTACAAATGACTCAAGCTTATCTTTCTTTATGACAGGGTAGTACTTCACTGTGTATAAATACCACATTTTCTTTCTTCTTTCATTTCTTGGTGAACATATAGGCCACCTCCAAGATTTAAGTTTTATGAAATGTGCTGGGTATATATGCGTATATATGTGTGGGTATATATGCGTGGATCACTATAATATGTGTTTAAATCTCTCTGGGAGACAAAGAAAAAGGGAATGATTAGGTTAAATGGAATTTCTAGTTTTAGGTTTTAAGAAATTTTCATACTGTATTTCATAGTTTCATTTTTCCATGTAGCCCCACCAACATTTTTTATTTTTAAATTTTTTATTAGGAGCTATTCATTGTAGAGTAAGATAGAATCTCATTGCTCTTTTAATTTGCATGTTGAACTTCTCTTCATATATTGATTAACAATTAATACTTCCTCTTGGAAGTGTCTATTAATTTCAATTGTCTTGTTTTGGGTTGATTCTTGTTTTGGGGGTGTCTAAATTTTTTTCTTTCTACATTCTAGATATTAGTTATTTTCCTGAGGAATAGCTGTTGAGACTTTTTTTTTTCATTCTGTAGGTTGTTTTTTCACTGTTGGTTGTTTCTTTTGATGTATGGAAGCTTTTAAATTTGACATGCTCCCATTTGTTGATGTTGGTAATATTTTCTTTCAAACTGAGATTCTGTTGAGAAAGTTGTTGCCTATGCCTACGAATTCAAGAGTTTTATCTTCCAGCAGATTGTTCCCATCTTAACACTTATTTATTTAGCCCATTTTCATTTTAGTTACATACACAGTAACATATATGGGTTTAAGCTAAATATTTTTATGGATAGCCAATTTCCCCAACACCATTTGTTAAAGAGGCTTCAGTAGGTTTGGGGCACTTTTGTCAGTGATTAGATAGTTGAATGAGCCTGGATTTTTTCTGTATCCTACATTCGGTTCCATTAATCTGCACATCTTATTTTTGTACCAGTATAATGCTGTTTCTATCACTGCACTTTGGAGTATAATTTTAAGTTGGAGATTGTGAAGTCTATTCTTTGTTCTTGTTGCCTAAGATTGCTTTGATTATTCCAGGTCTCTTCTGGTCTCATATGAATTTTAGGGTTATTTTCTCTTATTATATGAGAAATCCTACTGGTGTTTTCATTGGCATTGTATTAACTCTATATATCTGTTTTGAGACTGTGGCCTTTTGACAATATTAACTCTGCTTGTTCAGGAATAGAGGACAGCTTTCCATTTCAGTTGTCCCTTTATCTCTGTTTTCAGAGTACTGTAGTTTTATTGTGGGGATTTCACTTCGTTGGCTAGCTCTGACCTGAAGTATTTACTTTTTCTTGATGCTTGAGAATATATTGTTTTCATAATTTCTTTTTTGATGGATTTGTATTAGTATACAGGAACAATATTGACTTTTTTTTATCAGCACTGGGGATCGACCTCACAACCATGTGCTTGCAAAGCAGGCGTTTATGCCTCTCAGCTAAATCTCCAGCCCCTCAAATATTGATTTTTGTGTTTTTTTTATCATGATATAGTATTGAATTTCTTTATTAAATCTAAGAGTCTTTGTGGATTTTTTTGGGTCTTCTATGTAAAGAAGCGTGTCATCTGCTAACAAAGACAATTTACCTTTCTTTGCTATACATTTCTCTTCTATTTCTTTCTCTTGCCTGGTTGCTCTGGCTAATATTTCAAGCACTTTATTGGACAGGAATAGTGACATTGAGCATTTTGTCTTGTTCCTTATTTTAGAGGGAAAACTTTCAGTTTTTCTTCATTTAATATAAAGTTGGCAGCAGGTTTTATGACAATGTCTTTTATCAGAAGGTAAGGTCCTTCTATACTTGTATGCACTCTATATTTGTATCATTATATACAGTAATAGAAGGGTTTTTTCATGAATTGATAGTGGATTTTTTCAGGACTTTTTTCTGGATCTATTGAGATAGCCATATATTTTTGTAATTGATTCTTCCAATGTGATGTATTTTGTTTATTTATTTGAGTATGTTTAACCATTCCCACATAACTGAGAGGAATCCTATATTAAAAGCACATCTTGTCAGGAAATATGAATGTAAAGTTATAGAAATGTGTATATTACAAAGTTAATACAGAGTTATGATAGGACATACTGGATCAGTGCCCTTAGAGTTTAGATTGTACAAGTGTTCATATACATGTGCTTTGTGATCTTGGGCAAGTCATTTTACCTAATTTTGCTTTACATTTTTTCAGTTAAATGGGATGATGTGAATATCTACCTTTTTACATTATTACATTAGAGGAATTTAGGTTAAATTTAAATCACATTAATGTACTTTTGTTTGTTTTCTTGCAAGAAGCAACAAATTCTATTGTATTTGGATATTTAAATGAAAACTATTTGAAAGTGAGATGGAAACTTTGAATTCCAAATGTGCCACTGATTCAATCAAATTGGTAACATGATTTTTTAAAAAAAATTATTATGTTCTCTCTTTTCTGTTATTTGAAATAGAATACATGAGATGAGCAAGAAATGGTCTTGGACCAGACAGCGCTCATTTTGAATTGTGCCTCTGAGATGCAACTATGTGATAAAGGAATGTTCCTTATTTTCTCTGGGTATTAATTACTTTAAGTAAAAGTTGTTTGCCTATCACTACCAGACATTTGGAATTACTGTGCAAACATGCAAAATAGCATATAATACAGCACCTATGTATATTGTCAGGCATGTTTTATCTTCCATGATTTTCCCTTTTTTATACAGATGCTATTTGCAAGTTTCAATTTATAGATAGTAAGTTAGACTTCATCGACTTTAAACATTTAGGACTAATAAAAATGTTTAAAATTTAACTTGCAAATAAATGACTATTTGTGCAATTCTTTATGTCATATTGTTTCCAAAGATTTTCAACCTTATGAGGAAAGGTCCAGACCTAAGTTACCTAGTAAACATTCAAAAATGTCTGGATAAATTTTAGAATTCCACTTTGAATATTATGTTAAAATTGATTCAATCACTTTAACATACTATACAAAAAATGTAACATCAGCAATAAAATGTTTCAACTAAATTATTTTCAGATCACTGCTAATCTTTTTAAGATGTCAGTCGATTACATTTGCCAACTATTTTGGTAAGTTGATAAATGTATAGCAGTTTCCCCATTATCTTCCATTATTTTATCCTTCTTATTTTTCTCCATAAACATGTTGCAGTTTGAAATTATATTTTGGTTTTCCTTACAATTTTATATATGTCCTTATCTGTTTATTTGATATTGTGAGTTTGGCTGCCTCTTTTAGTATTATCTAACTGGGTATCTAGTGCATAAAAAGATTAAGAGGTAACCAATAACGTGGCTTGCATCTGTAACACAATCAATTAATGCTTTCCCTACTGCCATGACATACAAATATCTTGATTAAATTTATGGGCTAAAATAAATGACTAGATAATTCAGGGAGACAGAATATCATTAATAAAAGTACTACTTGGAATCACATAGATATACTTACTGGACAGAATGTCTAGAAGCTTAACTTTTTAATGCCATGCAATGAATTAATCTAGATTAAACAAATGCTTACGTAAAAAAATAGGATGATTAAAATGGTGTTAAAACTGAAGCTAGAAAGAAATTAGAATGGTAGATATTTGTGAGACTATTACAACAGAAATATATAAATGGACTTAGTTCTAAATATAACAAGAACAAGTAGAAATTAATAGTCAAGGAGCAATCTGGGTCTCGAGGGATTTGTGGATGAAAAATTGTTAAGATGGGATACCAAAGTTATGGGGAATTTGTGCTAAAATGACCTAACTAACATTCTTACTGAAGGCAGGCCAGGGTGATGAGATATGATGACTGGAGGATTCTCAAAAAAAATGACTAATAAGATTATTACTGGATGATGTAAACTTGACAGCAAGCTCTGCAGATGAAGAGTAGTTTTTAAAAAGGGCTTACTAAAATCTAATTATAGGTTAGTTAAATAGAGAGTCTTCAGCCAGGTGTGGTTGTATAATCTCAGCACTTGGAAGGCTGAGGCAGGAGGATTGCCTAGAGTCCAACACCACCCCAGGCTATATGAGAGTTTCAGGCCAATATGAACTATGTATCAAGACCTTGCCTCAAAAAATCAAACTAAAAAGCAAAAACAAAATATAGTCATTGTTATAAGCAACATGCTGAGCACAATATATAAATTTCCATTTGAAGATAGACTAAATATATGAATTCTATTTCATTTTTTCAGTATTTATTGAACATTTGTATATGCCACATAATATGATGAGTGTGGAAACACAAAAGAGAATAAAATACAAACCCAGCATCTGAAGAACTCAACATCTAGCAGCGTTCTGCAATTGAGGATGAAAAGTAATATGTTTTAAGTATATACAGACTGAGAACATGTGGGATGAAGAAGAACCTAAATTCAGGTAAATAAAATGAACTGAGGTATAAAGTCACCAAAATTTGATGAGAGAACAACATGTTTCTTGGCATGGTTATAAGCATGAACTTCTAGGTAAAGTTAACACCAAGATCAAAGTCATATGAGTGAATATGAAACAAACGTGGCAGAGAAAATTTTATGCCGTGGTTTAAATAGTGGAGTTTAAAAGTATTTATGAATTGGCAAAGGTGAGTCTGAGAGGTTATAAAATAATGCTTGAAAGCCTCTATATCTAAGACCCGTAAGATAGATTTTTAAGACAATGATGAATAATTTAGCAGTTTAAAGCAGGAAATTTTTATGGTCAAACTTTGTTTTGTTGTTACATTTTTGTAAATCACTGTGCTGGTGAAAAACGAGATGATCATAGCAAGTCAGAGATATTTTGCAGGAAAAGAGATTTTCTAGCAAGTCTTAAGGCTCCAGGAATGAATATGAAAAAAAATGAGGTTGTTTTTGGAGTCTGCAAAGGATGAGTAAGGTTTCAATAGTTGGTAATGGGGAAAAATAGTACTTTAAGAAGAGGGACTTGTACATGCAAAGGCACAAATTTCACACCGCCTATAAGGAAAAGAGTAATCTATGTAATTATGGGGGTAGCTAAGTGCCAGTCAGGGTTCATCATGCAAATTGGGTTCTATTTCCTTATTAGTCTGGAATTTTTCTATTAAACCACTTGCCTGTATTCATGGCTTACTATGATATACCTGCTTTTGTCTAATAACGTTTTATAATAAATGAGGAAATTAGAACAGGTCCTGTTACTCTGTAGTATTTTAATTACTTCATGTCAAATGTTGAAAAATTAGTTTGCATTCTGGGAGGTAATATACACTGATACCATTAAGTCAGCTTGCAGCCTCATTTGTCTCAGAGACAGAGCCAAATGATTGCAGTGTACTTAACTTCCACAGAGCCAGGTGGCTTGAGGACAAATGAGGCGGAGCACCTTTGGCACCCACTGTGTCTTCTTTTCTTTAAAAAGGAAAAAAGGTGCTTTATAGATTGTCCCTTGTGTGAAGCCACTTTCCACCTTCATCATCTCTGTCTCTTCTGGTGTGTGCTTTGAGGGACTCTATGTGCATTTCCTGTATTTCCCAGACATCTGGCTTCTGATTGGACTCACTCATTGGACTCATCAGTCTTTATCAGGGGACAAAAGAAGCAGAACTCTTTCTACCTCTCGCTTGATCGCCTCATACTCAGCAGTGGCTGATTTTCTCCATGACTGTTAGCTCTTGCAGTCCCTCCCCTTCTGTGGTACTGCTGATCACTGTCTCTAGAAACAATTCCCTTTCCTTGACCATTCAAAGTCTTTTCTCTTTTCTCCTCCAGATTGGCTGTTGTGAATCTTGTACTATAAATTATTTCCTCATCAAATTTTCTCCAAAACTATTTTAGTGAAATTATGTTTAGTGAAACTAAGTGAAGGAATAATTTTCATTCATTTAATTCCTACTGTGTGATATCATGCTAGGGACTTTCATGAATATCTCAATTCTTATTGCAGAGATTGCAAAAAATGTATTCCATGTTTACAAATGTGGACACATAACTATATGCATATAATAGTGTCTAATAGCAGGAAGTACTTTAAAAAGCAAACCTCTCTATATTTTGTCCATCTTCTAATGAAATTTTCAAAGAATTCATAGTTTAATAATAACAATATTTTAAATTGTAATTTCATATTTTTCACCTATGGAATGCAGAAATATTATTTTATATGCCATATTATACATAGTTCTTTAATATCCAACTTGGAAAAAACTCACAAATGTTTAAAAAAGAAATTTCATATATTGCAGGATAATATCTGGAAGTAAAATGAGTGTCACACTTTATAACCTAGATGCTACTTATTTTTATGTTCTTGAATTTTAGCACTGAAGAACTCTGACCATAAATTTGAAGAGACATGGTAACACTTAATGTCATTGACTGTGGTGATGTCAGTGGACACAACTGAAGAAAAGGAAGCATTTGCTTCCAAGAGTCACATAAAATATAAGTATCTATTTGTAACCAATAATTAGAAAACAGCTTGTAAAAGATATACTTTAAATTTCATTTTAGTTTATTTAAAACCTTAACTTTAACCATATCTACAAAATGCCTTTTCCATATAAACTAACATTATTTACGTATTTCTAGTTTGCAAGGGTCAAGATGTGACCATTTTGTGGATGCATTTCTTCTTTTGACTCTTTGTAAAGAAAATCCATTTAGGAAAAAAAAAAAAATTAGCCAGGCAACAACAAGGATACCTCAATTGCCAGTTAACATACAAAAATGAAATGCTTTGTTTACAATCAAAGAAAAGCACAATAAAACTATAAGTGAATAGTATGGTATATATACCAAAAAAGCTAATATCAAATAGGGCTAAAATTATTGAGTGTGGGCAGGGATGCAACCTAGTGGAGCAGTGGCTGCCCTGCAAGCGTGAGATACCAAAGTTAAACTTATGTTCATTTTGATATTTTCAATAGGGTATATGTGAACCAAAATTTACATACAAAATAGTCATGATAGTGCTAGTTATAATAGAAAAAACACTGGAAATGACACATATCCACTAACAGTACAACTCACAAAAATGCTTTGGTAGGTTTTTAAAATGAAACAACATGGATCTCATAAATAGAATATTGAATACAAGTTACTATAAATGGATTTACACTAAAAAGTTTAATTTTTATATATTTACATACTTGAAAAAAATTTGATACCAGCTATCTAAGTAGTGATTACCTTTGGAAGTAGATTAAGTTATCTATTTTTCAACTTTTAAAACCTGGGAAAATATCCAATATATATAAATTAAGGGAGAGAAGATTTGATTTGCTTCATGGTTTTAGTCCATGGTTTGTTGGCTCCAGTGCAGATATATCATAGTTGAATTAATTGGTAAAGGAAGGTTTTTCAGCCTATAGCAGCTAGAAAGCGAAGAGAACAGGAACAGCTGGTGACAAAGATGCCCTGAGGTGATCTACCCTTCCAATTGGGTCCCACCTCCTAACCGCACACTCAGTGGTGAACTCACTGATGGATTAATCCACTGATGAGAAAAATGGCCCGTGAGCTATCCTCTTCTGAGCGTTCCATCCTGCAAACTTGAAATTTCTGAGAGGCATTTTAGATCTAACCCCTAAAGAGGCACTTCTGAGATGTTGTCATTATATGTGGACTTGTATAAAGTTTATATGAGGACTCTCACTTTCTGAAAATTCATCATGCTATAATTTATGATTATTTTTGATAACATTTCTATGATATATTAAATAGTTTTCATAATCCTTCATGTTTTGAGGAGTTCAGGACAAATAACCTTGATGCAATAATTCACACATTTTACCAAATAAATTGGTTAGGAAAACAAAATACACAAACAAAAAAAAAAGATTGCCGGGTTATGATCCTATAGGTTGTGGTGGGTTGAGGGGGAAGAACGTGAGCGTAAGTAGGAAAAAAATATAAAGCCAGGATTCCACCCCCCCACCCCTGATTGTACCTAAGTAATTTCTTTGTAATGTGTGTGAAAGGCTGTGAGGTATGAATGGCTCAACTGCATTTATATTTCCAGGGGATGAAAAATTCATTTTGAATTGAATCATAGTGTTCTGAATGTTCCCCTGCCACATTATGGTAGTTCCAAGATTTGATACTCACAGTGAGCATTATTTATAGCTACATGAGACCAACTATATTAACAAATTATTTTTTAATACAGAGCAGAATAGATTTTGAAAAGCAAGGACTAAATACTGGTTTTATGCTTGATTAATACTCAAAAACTATTATTTTGATATTGCATATGTTGTAGCATTTACTTCCAATAATGACTCTGTTAAATAAATACATACATATCTTGATTTTCCATCAAAAGTGTATTTATTAAGCATTACATTAACTTACAATCCTATATTTCCTCAGACGTCTCCCTTAGCAAAGTAGAATTGATATTTCTCTCTATGTTTCATCTTCCCTCACGCACAACATTTCTTACTCCAATATGTAAAGGCTTAAGTCTTTGACTTTCTCTCTAGTTTGTACACTGAATTATATTTCCCACTTTCTGGAATCCTATCCAAGTGACTGCTGTATAGACTTTCTCATTAAATATTTGTTGAAAGCATGTGGGGAATGGGGGAGACATGTACCTTAGAGACATGAGAGGTCAAGTTTCCTAAAGGAAATTAACATAGAATTTGAACCCAACACTTTCTGAGTCTAATTCCAAATTTTTCTATTAAATCATACTAAATGGTCATTAAGTCTCAATGCATTTGTCAACTTTTGAAATTGAAAAATGGAAATTGCCTCTCTATTTTAACATTTCCCTCCTATTTTCCCTCATATCCACATTTGGATTTGCATTGAGTTTTCAAGAGCCAGGCAAAGTTCCTGTTGCCCAGGAAATAATGCACATGACCAAATGCCAGTTTTATATGATTTAGAAGAAAGAGGTGTATTTCAGGTGATTTGCATAAAAATAAAATTTATATCTTCCCTACAGAATAGGCTCTGGTCAGCAGAGCAAAAATCAATCTGTTTGCTCCCAACTTTAAATTTCCATAAGTCATTACATAGTCCATAATCACATTGATGTAACTGAATTGAATTTGAAGAGATTATTCTGTGTGAGAAGTGACTTTCAGTCATTTAAACTGCAGATATTCAACAGATGAATTCTTTCAAACCTGAACTCTGTTTTACAATAAATTTGTGACCTAATTTTCATTTTTCTCTGGGTTCTTACTTTCTCAAATGAAGAGATCCTAGTAGTTTTCACACTTGGCACCTTCATGTGGATGGACACAGAGAAAAGGGGGCATTCAAATGTGATAAAAGTGGGTTGGTAGCTCATTAAGTAAGATTACAGGTTCTGAGGTCATTCATTTTATATCTCTGAATATGAACTCTCTCACATAATGCTGCTCTTCCTCTGGATAAGTTTCCAAGCCTCTGAAAGCCTTAATGCGTACATCTATATGATACAGTTAGTAATGGAAACTACTTCACAGAGTTCTTGCAAAAATTAAAGTGTAAATATGTAAACCTATGTTTGTTCGGTGGTAGGCATGTTGGCCATTGTCATTATCTCATTAAGTGTAATATTAGTTCTAAATACTAGAACAGCTAGAGAGTTGGGAAGATTAAGAAGGATCTAGGCAAAAAACTGCATATACTTTCAACATTTTGCTACAATAATTGTTTACATTTCCTTTATTCATTAAATATTTTAAAACATTTTTCTTTAAGTTGCATTTTTAAAAACATTAAAAGATAAACATGACACAGAATTTCAAAATAAAATAATTGGAAATTAATGCTGGTTAATATATTGCATATTGTTATCTTCAAAGTAGTTGGTCAAATTATAAGATTTAGGCATAAAAAATGGTCAAACAGTGAAAACACAAACTTTTCTTTCTGATAAACTAACAATTTAGTAGTGTAATTACCTATCTTGCAGGTATATACATACACAAATATGTATATATGTATATATGCATATATATATGTATATATGCATATATATATGCACATATTTTTTCCCTTCTTTCTTTTCCTCTTTTCCCTAGCCCAGATGTTCTTTCCTTTTGAGCACTTTCCTTCCCTTTCATTTTCACAATATCTATTTTAGATTTTTGATCTTATTTACCTTCAGGGTTTTTTTTTTTTTTTTTTTTTTGTATATTAGGGAGACAAGATGATATTTACATATGCACGTCTGATTTATTTCACTGAGGAGTATGGTGTCAAATTGTATTCATTTATCTATGAAAGTCTCAAGTTTATTTTTCTTTATAGCTGAATAATACACCATAAAAATATCATATCTATTTTATCCATTCCACGGCTGATAGGCATTTGGGTTGTTTCCAAGTAAAACCTATTACAATTTGTTCTGCTATAAACATGGGTGAACACATATCACTCTGGTACAATGTTTTCAATTCTTCTGGGAAAATACCCAGATGGAAATAGCTGAATTGAATGGGACCTCTAATTCTTGCATTTTCAGAAATCTTCATGCTGATTTCCACCGTGGTTGTACCAGCCCATCACCAAGAGGGAAAAGTTCCTGTTCCCCACAGCCCTGCCAGCATTTGATATTGGTTGATTTCATGATGACAGCCATATCTTCTGGAATGAAGTGGAATCACAGTATTGTTTTAATTTGCATTTCTCAAACGACCAGTACTGTTGAACATTTCTTCGTATATTTATTTGCCATTTGTAGCTGTAATGAGAAGTGCATGTTCATCTCAGCTGCCCATTTTTGGACTGGCTCTTTGAATTTGAGGGGCCTAATAATTCTCAATTCTTTGAATGTTCTACAAAGAAGTCCTTTGTCTGCAGGTCAGTTGGATACATTTTTTCCCCATTCTGTGTGTTTTCTTTTCACTCTGTGATTTCATATATGTGCAAAATCTTTTTAATGAGATTCTACTAGTTGATTCTTAAAAATATTTCCCATGTGGATTTTGTTTTGTTCATGAACTCTTTGCCTACTCCTCTGACTTCAAGATTTTTATCTATTTTGTCTTCCAGTAGATTTGGTGTTTCTATTTCACGTTTAGATATTTGATCCATTTTGACTTTAGTTTAGCATATGGTGATAGATATGTGTCTAGTTTTAGTCTTCAACATGTGGAAAGCCATTTTTTACCAGCACCATTTATTAAATAGTCTATCTTTCTTCCAGTGAACATGTTTGGCCTGTTTGTCAAAGAACAGGTGGTTGAGTGTCTTTGTAGTTGTGCCTGAATCTTCTAATCTGTTACACTCATCCTCAATTCTGTGGGGTTTTTTTTTTTTTTGTTTTGTTTTTGTTATTGTTTTGCCAGTACAATGCTGATTTTATCACAATAGCTTTGTAGTATAACTTCAAGTCAGGGATGGTAATGCCTCCTATCTTGCCTTTGTTGCCCAGGATTGCCTTTGCTATTCCAGGCCTCTTAGGGATGCATATGAACTTTAAGAGTGACTTCTCTAGATATGAGAGATATGTTAATGGTATTTTGATCTGGATTTCATTAAGTTGGTGTAACAGTTTTGGGTGTATGTCCATTTTCACAATATTGGCTCTTCTTATCCAAGAACAAGTGATATCTTTCCATTTTCTGAGATCCTCTTCGGTCTCATTTTTCATTATACTATACTTTTGAATACATAGATCTTTATATCCTTTTGTTAGACTGATTCCTAGGTATTTCATTTTTTGGATGCTATTGTGAAAGGTGTTATTCTATAATTTATCTCTCAGTGAGTTTGTTGTTTGTATACAGGAATGCTACTGATTTTTGAGTGTTGACTTTGTATCCAGCTACACTACTGAATTTGCTTATTAATTCTAGTAGTCCTTTGGTGGAGTTTTTAGAGTCTTCTATGTAGAATATCATGTCATCTCCAAATAATGATAACTTCTTCCTTTCTTATCCTTATTCCTTTTATTTATCTCTCTTGTCTAATTGCTCTGGCTAACATTTCCAGAACTGTTTTGAATAGGGGTAGTTGTAGTGGACATCCTTATCTTATTCCTAATTTTAGAGTGAAGATTTCAGTTTTTTCCCATTGGCTATGATGTCGGTTTTTGGTTTTCTGTATATGGCTTTTATCAGATTGAGGTAGATATCATCTATTCCAATTTTCTGTATGTTTTTATTATGAATGAGTGTTGGCTTCCTGGTAAGTAGCATAAGTGTGCCATGGGTGTGCCAAGGAGAGAACAAGCCAGTGTTTCCCAAGAATCAGCCATGCTGGAACTTGGGGGATCAACCAAGAAAACAACGAGCCATCCTTCCTGGTAAGCAGCACAAGCACGCCGCTGCGGGTGCTCCAGAGAGAGAACATGTCAGTGTCTCCCATAAACCTACCTATGCGCAGGCTGAGAATCAAATGTCTGGTTCCAACACCCGCATCCTTGCTTTTTAGCAACTGGATGGTTTTGAGGTCAGCCAGAGTTTATAGCATCTAAGGTACATAAAACAACCGAATACTCATATTGTTTGGCTGATTATTCTGACCTGGGGCCAGAGTTCTGAGCATCTCTTGGGAGGATAACAACATGCAATATAGCAAATATGGGGGATTTCCTTCTATCTTGTCTTTGAAGTCCAATATTGTTTTCACTTTTTTGCCTTGTTCTGATTGCACTATTCAATATTGTTTTGATTGGTTTTATAGCGTTCTGTTTTCAATTTGATTTTGCTATAACTGATTGAATGGGTAACTATTGTGTAGATAACAAGACATACTATGGAAGCTATTATTGTTATCCCAGTATCCTGCTCTGAAATTATGTACCAGTTTCATTGCATTTTCTTGATTGGCTTTGTTCTGTCTTGTTTTGCTATATTTTACTATCTTTAAAACTAAACAAAATTTTAAAAAAAAGCTTTTTCTGCATCTACTGAGATGATCATGTGATTTTTGTCTTGTCTTTGTTGATGTGGTGTATTACAATTATTGATTTGCATATGTGGAACCATCCCTGCATTCCTGGGATGAATCCCTCTTGTTCATGATGTATAATGTTCTTGATGATTTGCTGCATTCTGTTTCCTAGTATTTTATTGAAAATTTTTGTATCTATGTTCATTAAGGAGATTGGCCTCTGGTTCTCCTCTTTGGTTGAACTTTTCTCTGGTTTTGGTATCAGAGTAGTACTTGCCTCCAGTACTGAGTTAGGGATAATTGCTTCTTTTTCAATTCCATTAAAGAATTTGAGGGGTATTGCCTTTAAACAGTTTCTTATAGAATTTATAAGTTTATAAGTCTTATAAATTTCTTATAGAATTCAGCTATGTATTTATCAGGACCTGGGATTTTTTTTGTTGGTAAGTGTTAAATCACATTTTCAATTTCAGTAGCTGATATTGGGTTATTCAAAATTGTTATATTTTCTTGATTCAATTTGGCATTTCATGTGTTTCTAGGAATCTGTTTATTCTATTTTTTGTCTTAAGAACATAAAGATTTTTGAAGTATTTATTGATGATCTTCTGAATTTCCAAAGGGTTGGTAGTAATTTCATCCTTTCTTTCCTCTTTGCATGATTTTAATTCTTTTTTTCCATTTCTTGATAAGGTTGGCTAGTTGTCTGTGAATTTTGTTTATTCCTTCAAAGAACCAACTCTTCAATTAATTAATGCTTTGTATTATTTTCTTAGTCTCAATATTGTTAATTTCTGCTTTGATCTTTATTATTTCCTCTCTTCTATTTTTCCTTAAATTAGTTCTTTGGATATCTCACAGCAATCTTTTGGCAGAAATAGATAATTCTGTGTTTATGACTGAACAGTTGAGGAAAGAAAAGCTCTAAGACTTTAAATAAGTCCTCCAAGCCTGGTGACAAACTGTGGTTGAGATTTAAATGTTCTAAATTTCATATAGGTGATTCGTTAAACTGAGCTTTGTTCTTTTGGCTCTTTAAGTAAGTGAACAAGAAGTGAAGGAGTCATATTCATGGATTTATAGTAGAGATGTCACTTCAGTGATGGACCAGTAGTGTAACTAGAGAAGGATTAATGTTGGGAATATCAAATAGAACACCAAAAGACAATGGATGATGAAATTTTCAAGATCGTATACACAATTCTTTTATATATTATAATTATATATATAATTATATATAATATATATGTATATATCATAATTATATATATAATTACAAATGTATAATTCTTCATTGAGTCAGTGTTTTAGTACAAAATTATTGAAGCACTACTATGCATGAATGTAAGGTTATTATAATAAATGTTACAAGAAATTATAAAATAAATAGGTATATAAGTTTATATTTAGGCAACAGTATCCTGTGACTCTTACCTAGAAGATTTTCAGAGTAATAGGTCACACAAAGTGTAGATGGAAATCTGTGTACTCCTTCAGGCAGTTATATCCTTTTTTGGCAGAAATACGCTTTTTTATGGACTTCCTGATATACCAACACAGAGTCAGAGGAACAAGTTCCATACAGCAAAAAGAAGAAAGGGAACTACCTGAAAGAAATTTCTCTTTTTACTATAGATATAAGAAGTATTAATGGTTAAATGAAATCCTTGAAGACAAACTTTTCTCAGTAGGCAAGAATAAAGCCCTGATTATTCACTTTGTTAAATAAATCTTGAAATAAATTTCCACCAGAAACTCTGAACATCAGATTGGTGTTAATTATTATTTTCATAAAATCATTTTGTAATTGTTTTCAAAGAGGAATAATTTAACAGGATAATAGCAAATAAAGTAAGCCTTCACCTTGTCGTATAGGTCTTTCTTGCTCATTTTAGAGTATAAAGGATCAAATATTCTTCATACCTCATTTAAAATGCATTCCATATAGTGAAGCAATAATTTTTAAAGTTCCTAATTTGTGAAGATGTAGAGAAATGTCCAAAGAAGAAAAAGGGAAGTTTAGTAAAGCAGCAAAAAGAAAATCAAGGGAGTACTTCATAAGAGCTCATATTGAAGAGTCAGAAATCAGGAGCTGGGGATTTAGCTCAGTGGCATAAGTGCCTGCCTGGGAAGTACTAGGTCATGAGTTTGATCCCTGGTCCAAAAATAAATAAATAAAAATTCATAAATCTTCAGTTTATGCATTATGAAAGTTTTTGAGTATAAGTGTAATATTTAGTTCTATTTGTTTTTCAACCAACCAATTAGTCCTATAAGTAAAAACACCTACGTTTATTAGCTCCTAGTTTAAATTAGTTTTTAAGACAAAAAAAAGCAATAAAATTTTTCAGAAAAATATAGCTATTGCCTTTTTGGGTAATTTGTAGAAAGTAAATGACATAAAAGAAATAAGTTATATGTACTAGAATGCTATAGAAAAACCTAATTTGCATATGCTTACTAGAAGTAAGTCTGAGGGCATTTAAGCAAATACAAATTAAATTTTCAAGGGGCATCTTTCCATGAAAGTGAAATTGAGCCAGGTCCTAGCCAAATATTGGTTGGGAAAATGAGTTAATAAGATTTAGGGAATGTAATTGTCAGCCAAGCAAGGTGCTACAGTACTGGATAAGAGATATACAGAACTGTAACTTTCAAGATCTATTCCATTCAAACAGCTTTGGTAGTTCACGTTTCACTGTGAGTTTACTTTGCACGGCAAGCACTAAATTGTGAGTTTGATCCCTGGCACCAAAAACAAAAACAAAACAGCCCAAAGCACTATGAGTTTACTAATCAATTGATTGCATGATAATCATGAATATTGGGAATATATGTCCACATATGAACATGACCCTGTGCATGCTTTGTAACAGTTGAGCCTGTTGAAAGTTTAGTTCACCTGATATATATATATATATATATATATATATATATATATATATATATATATTATCTAAGAC